CATGTACTGCAAGCTCTGAAACTTCGTCGTCTGGTCCGGGCCGCTAGCGCTATATTCTGGAGGAGAATGAGCATTCGGCGATGCAAAATTATTTTTGCAAAAACATTTTTTATTTAGTCACCCGGCCTTCAGTAAAACGTAATTAAGGAAACCCTCAATGTAAACAGTGCCGTGAAAGTGTTGGTCATATTTTTGTTATTTTGTTGTCGTAGCTGTCGTTGCGCTATATCGTTGATTGACTAGAACAATGCTTTTAATAGACCTCTCTCTAAATTAGCCAAGCATTAAAGAGAATATTGGGAACGTAGGTACACGGCGCTGCACGTGCTCGCCCTCCCTGTACTAAGCGCAAGATCGTCTGCTTTCTTTGCAGTGGTTGTTGCAACCACTGCAAAGGAAGCTCTGATTGGCTTTGATTGAGCTCTGATTGGCTTTGATTGAAGGATAGTGGGTAGACCTCACAGCAAGCTGCCTTCAGGTCTACCCACTATCCTTCAATTAGAACAAATCAGAGCTTGGCGCTTTGAGGACACCACAACCCTTGCAAAAGAAGCAGACGAACTTGCGCTCCACATAGAAAAGGTTCGAAGTAAATAACCCAAATAAAACGTCCGTGGAACGCGCTTGCGAAGTACCATTTGTTTTAGATTTTTGCTTTCGAACAGTTATAGCTGAAGACGGCAGCGCGCGCAGCGCGTGTACCAACGTTCCCGGCATTCTTTATGATGCTTGGGTAATTCGGCAAAAGGTCAATTTTGAAATATATTATCGCGAGTCTCTAGCAAATCTATGCCCTGTTTGCGCTCGCCCTTAAGTAATTTCCTCTACTCGAAATGAAACAGAGTCACCGCACTCAACTCAACATTAGGGATTCCGTTTGTTTTGCTATCTAATCAATCTGGGCTCCATTCACAACACTAGCTCACTCCAACGAACCCTTATTCATACGCCCGAAGGCAGAGAAGTCCAGTCGATTCTTGTCGGGCGTCAGAGCCGCGATGCACACAGGTTGGAAAGGCCAAAAGCTGTTGCTCGGGCCGCCACTCAAGCGGGCCGCAAGATCGGAAGGCCTCAATGCACTTTCCGCTTGGGCGCGAATAATGAATGAGACCGGGCAGTCTCGATTCGATTAGGGGCTTCCTGGGATGCTTCTTGATTTCGCCGTTATTATCGGAGGAGGCGGGGAACGAAGGAAACTGCGTCTTCATCGCACCGTGGGATCTGCAGTGACGCGCTGGACGTGCCTTGATGTGCTCTTTGCTTTGGGTGGTGCATCCGGTCATTTTATCCCGAAAGCTTGTTTTCTTTTTTTACGTTTAGGAGCGTGTTATAGAGCGTATCCCCAGCGGCTGTTTCTTGTGATGACTGTGCTACGGCGGCATCTTGTTTCCGGCCACTTCTTTTTTTTTCATCTGTGGGCGCATCTGTTCGGCAACGGGCATACAAATAATGTCATGAAGGGTGCTTAAGTGACTTGTGTTTGGGAAGATTTCATTATTTGTAGTACCCGATTCTGACAGCACGCGCTCACTGGGAAAATGCCCATATTGTGTCTTAAAATCATGGCTGCCAGTTATCTGAAGCTTTATCTGATATCCCTGGAAACGCCTCTCCGCCCTCCACAAAAGTTTAAACAGTTCATGGCAGGGCAAATCAATATTGCATGAGCTTCCTAACACCAAATCTAATGCTGAGGAAATCTCACTTTTGAATAATGATGATCGGCAGTTGCGTCTGCTCTGCACAAGCACCAAAATGATGGCGGCCACAACAATGCCGGGGAACAAAGTGCCGATACTCTAAGCCCAGCTCATTTAGTGGCCCTAGTCACCACCATTGGTCTCAACAGACCGGTGTTTATTATCAACACATAACAATTAAATTTAAGCTCGCCTAGCAAGGTTTGGACACGAGCGCTTCGCTCTGACCAGTGCTTTCGTCGCACGAGGACTGACCTTCAAATCGTCATTTTCGATTTCTCTGAGAAGAAATAAACAAACAAAATCTGTTTGTTGTCCACACAGCTGAAGCGTACCGCTAGATGCGTGGCTGTTCGATCTCCTTCCCAATACTTGAAAGTATGACGAAGTGGCATGAGGAGCAGCAGTGTTCGCTTCAGCTCCGCTAACACCACTAGATTCCTGCCATTAACTGTGTCCCGGACCCAAATCTTTTACCTAAGGACGGCGATTCATCGAAAGATTTCAAACGGAACCAAATGTAGGCGAGTCCCTCTTTTATTTCTCACTTCGACAGGCCGCCGTAGGCCGGACCCCGGGCAGAGAGAGTTAGGCCTGCCCATCATACCACACTTCATCCCAAGTCCCTTCATCTCAGGAGAGTTCATCCCAGACACATCATACCAAAATCTTTTCATCCCAGAATGTTTCATCCCAGGATAGTTTATCCCATGGACAATCTATCCCACGACTTTTGATGCCAGAATAGTCCATACGATTCAGCCGATTCAAAGATTGAAATATCCTGACATGTAATGTACATGCGATAAAACATCTTGGGATGAAACGTCTTGAGATGAAACATCTTCAGTATAAGGTGTCTGGGATAAAGTGTCCTGGAATGTAGTTTCTTGGGATGAACTGAGTGGACACCCTGTCCATCACCCTGCATTCTGAACATAGTGAGTACTGAAACAACGCCGATCGAAAGGTGCACCGAGAACGACGAAAACAATACCGTGGAGCTAGAGACCAACGAGAACAGCGCAAGGAAGGTGAGCATTCCAGCGAAAAGAATCTGCAGTACACTATCGAGTCCGGACCGGGACGATAGTTTCGAGATCAACGATGACGAGATAAACAGTATAACTATACAAGAATGACGGTTCTATCAACGATGGTTCTCCTCCTGAAACGACAAACAGTTGACCGAGAGTCACATACACAGAACAAAAACCGCAATGGGGAACCCAGCTGCAGCGCTTCGACGAACCAAAAATTGTGATTGTGGTGAAACCCATGACCCAAACCAGAATATCGAACATTTCATCGAGAATCCTCGTGGACTGATTGAAACAGCCTTTTATAAATCCTTGCAACAGAGACCGACTGAGCTAAGATCCCAATCACGGGAGCAACACCATGGCCATTACTGTTTACAATGAGTCGCACACAGGAGACATCCTCCAGATGAGCACTCTGACGCTGGGAGACGGTACTGAGGTAGAGGTCCAAACTTACAGATCCACCACGGGCCTCATGCCCAGAGAAGTAATACACGACGTAGATGCAGAGTTCACAGCACAAGACATTGTCGGCTACTCAGACTCTGACTACTGCAATGTCCCACATGCAAGACCCATTGGGAGGAGAGCCACATTTCTTCTTATGTTCGATGGAAATAGAGTTCCTATGAAAATTACTCATCGCGGAAGACTGTTCAGAATATACACGTACAAACCAACAGCCATCCTAGCCTGAAATGCCACAGCATCGGGCATAAGGCTGTCTGCACGAGAGAGCAGAGATGTAGGCGTTGCGGCGAACCTCACCCAGAAGGAGAATAGTGCTAAGATACGTATCGTCCTAACTTCCATCTGTCGGGACGAACAGCCTTCGACCCCAACTGTGAGACTAGAAAAATCACGGACTCAAAGCTACAAAGAAGAGCACAGGCAATGATACAGACAAAGAGCAAATCAACAAATGTGGCAACTACGTCTCCGCGGAAGACAATGGCAGCTGCCCTGCACAACCAAGGCACACCTAGAGGAAGAACATCCTTTCACCAAAATCGCTTCGCCCCCCTACAAGACCTAAACGAGTTTCCGCCGCTGGAAAACACCGGCAGTACCAAAAAGGGCCCCACCGCTACCAACCGCACGACATAGAAATAGGCTCCACCGAACGCCAATGCCAACATGGCCCCAAGAACGTCTTCAACCAACAAGACATCAATCGAAGACAAATAAAATAAACTAAATGACCTTGAAAGACATGTGGCCCAGCTCAAAGTGAAAATTGAGAAAGACAAACAAGAAGAAGAATGTTCCAAGCAACACAGACAAACAGAACTGTAAAAAAAGAGGCAAGACGCAGCCAGAACAACTGATGAACAAAAGAAGGTGCTGTTCCCTCCTTCACAAAGAACCCAACACCATCAGAAATCGCGCCGATCTGCGCGATTACCCAAGCTACCGAAAACGGGAATCGGGAAGAGAAAGTGGTACGCTTCGTGAAATCAGAAGCTCAGCGAATGCGACAAACAGCAAATACTACCCCAACAAATCCAGCAACAAATACAGCAGCAGCCACAGATGCAGCAGATGATGCAGAAATTTCATTTCATGTTTATGCAGTTCCAGAAATTACAAGTACAACAATGAAGCCCCCATAGAGGATACCCCCTTTTAAAAAAAGTAACTAAATACGCCTACCAGTTACCGAAAACACTAACTAGATAAAACTAATTCGTTACTAACGCGTTACGTGCATGTCTGAAATGAGTCTTAAAAACAAGACGTCTCTTAAGGCAGACTTCTACAGAGGTAGCGGTGAGTGCTCGTTCCCAGCAAAAAGCCTCATGTACGAACGCGAAACCCCACTCTACACTCCATGTCACTAGTTGTGTGCAGTGCAGGCAGAGGCAACACCAGGCGAACAGAGAAAGGGCGATCACTAAGAGTAAGAAGGCGGGACGGAAGAGGAGGGCAACGGAGGGCGAGGGAAGAAAGGGAGAGAACTAGGAACGTTGGAGAGAAGAGGAGGTTTCTCTCATAGTCCCCAGCCTTCCTGGTGCTTGCCCTTCCCCCCTCGCCTGGCATTGGTTTCGACTGTACTGCACGCAACTAGTGACATGTCTCCTACACCATGTCTCCTACATCATTCCCACTGAAAGCAAAAAGCCCATTGCAAACATTGTGCAGCACACTAGCTGAAGGCGAATTTTCAACACGTCTTTGCACAACGCAGCAGTTACCGCTGTCAATCGCAGCAAACTTTGTGTGGTCGTTTGCAATGTTTCAGCGCGCTTACTGCGTTATGTCTATTCACATTCATCTTCTGGTTAAAGAGGCACACCTAACCGAGGAAGATGAACTGGCTGAAAAGGTACTTGCTGCTGAAGAGGCCGAACTGACTAAAGAGGTGCCTCTGGCGGAAAAGATCCTTCTGACTGAAGAGGCTAAACTGGCTGAAGTGGTCCCGCTGGTTGAGGAAGACGAACTGGCTCAAGAGGTTCCTTTTACTGAGGAGGTTGAACTGATTGAAAAAAGACCTCTGGCTGAAAGGGCTGAATTGGCTACAGAGGCCCCTCTGATTGAAGAGATTCCGGCTGAAGATGCCGGACTAGTTTTCCGCGCGATAAAAAAAACAAAAAACACTCTTAGCCAGTTTTTTCTTGACGCCACTGTTGTAGGCGTTACCGAAAAAAAAATTAGGTAACAAAAAATGTTACGCGTTAATTGCACATAAAAGGAACTCGTTACAGACCGGCGCCATCCCAAAATAAAAGGAACGCGTTACCGTTACCGTTACGGACAAAATATAATCCATGTTACTTTTGCGTTACTTTTTTACTTAAGAATTCAGATGTTTTACTTTTTTTACGCCAGAGGTGTGCATAAGTGCCATATTTCAAGAATCATTATGTCCATGCAGAAACTAAATATAATTACGGTTTCACCTAAATTCTCACAAGAAAAACCGCCAGAAACGCCAACAGCTGGAAAATTAATAGAGCTTGGCGTATAGAACACGAAGAAAAATTGAAGTGTAGTTTGTTTTTAAGTTGTGGGAAGAATAAGGAACGAGTAACGCAACTACGTTACACGTTACTCGAAATAAGTAACTTAAGTACGTTGCCTGTTACTTTTTCTTTTGAAAATGTAATGGTCACGGGTTACCGAAGAAAGTTACGCGTTACCGGCAACACCGTTACTTGTAACGGGTTACTGCCTACACTGCTTAACGCAAATACTTGCCAAACATTTTTTTCGTCTTAATTAATTTTTTATGATGACAATATCTATCATGCTTAAACTTATTTACGCAACTTATTTCTTGCATGGAAAGAATCCTCTTATGTCGTATTTCGACCTAAATTTATGGTTCAGTCGAATATTCTTCAAGCAAAATATGCTAAAGCGGAAATTCGATTTCGTCTGAAATCTATATAGATATAAGTCGACTAGCTTTCTTGCGTAGATCGTCCCAACTATACGTCGTTGTGCATCAACGTTCGATCTTTCTCAAACAATGTGTTTTCAACAAAAAACATGATACAAAAAAAAAAAAAACTTTCTTTATGATCGTTTGCCACGTGCGCTCTTCTTTTTGTATCTATAGAATAGCAGCATTATACCCTCGAACGTGTAAAACGATGAATCCTTGTTTCTCAAGCGCCCCATAATCGTTTAAAAATAGTTTCCCTACAAAGTAACACAAACGGAGGAACGAATAGACAAGGAGAGAATCGAGAGGGAGACAGAAAGGGAGATCTCGAAACGGCATCAACTTTTAGAAACGTGCCTTTGTTACCACTGGAAAGATACAAAGTGGGTAGCCCAGCCGGATACACCGGCTGCGCTACAAACTTTGCTAGATTTTGCTGCTCCTTCGGCTAATGTACACATTGTCATAATTCTGGAGCATTTTTTTTTTTTCATTCTCTTCGCGGCCCAAATTAAAAATATGAAACTGCGTGTGGGTGTTTCTGTGCGTGGATGGGGAGGTAGCAGATGTTGACGCGTCGTGTGGGCGTTTGCGAGTGTAAGAAATTTGAAATAAAAAGCGACTCAAACAAATACCGATATGACTGCAAGAACGAAATGACATGCAGAACGTACGACACAGCATATCGACAACGGTGGACTGACAAGTTATTCCCCCGTCTGAATTGTTGGCAACGAATTCACTGTCTTGTTTCCGCTGCTTCTTTCGAGTTATCATATAATTTTATTCGACTGAAATGCCACACTGGAAAATTGAGCTCAAAAATGCACACGTTCGCTTATTAAAAAAAAAAAAAATACTGCGAAAAAGCAATACTTTCTCTTCGCTGATATCCTGACACAAACCAGCGGATGATTGACAGTGACACTGACGTTCTCACGCGCCTACGCACGTATGTAGGCGAGTGGGGAACTCTTTCCGGATGCCAATAAACAATACGACAGATGTGGCCATCGGTCATCAAAAAAAGTACGACGACTGACCAGAGCGCTAAATCCTCGGTCCGGCACACGCGAAGAAACGTCAACACAGTTTGTTTTCAAAACGGGGCCCGAGCCGGTGCAGAACGGTGGCAGCGGCATTTCCTGTCCGGACGTTGGGGGGAGCGCCAGCGGCGCTGGCGTCGACGGCTTCCGTAGGAAGCTGCACACTAAACATCGTAACACCCTTGTGGGTGTAAATGGCTTGTCCTATAACTAACACCCATTTGGGTGTAGGAAAACGCCCTAAACAAAGGGCGTTATCCGTAACGCCCCTAAAATAGGGCGTTAGGGAAAAACGCCCTATTTTAGGGGCGTTACGAATAACGCCCTTTGTTTAGGGCGTTTTGGGTGTGATTCCTCTGTACACCTTTTTATTAGGGCGTTATGTCTGCGCAGTACGCCCTCTAAATTGTGTGTATCACCGCCAGAAAGGGAAATAAAAAAGGCGCGATTACCAACACCCATAAAGTAATGCGTAATAGCCCAAAAGAGTGCACGAGAAAATGACTGCAAATGCCTGGTTCACTTTTTTATTTTTTAATCAAGGTTCTAACAGGTTGTACAAAATTCTCTATAGACGATTGCAAGCAGGTCATCTGGCCGCAGCCATGTCTCTGCTTATGCGGGCAAGTGCGTGCAATTACAAGCGTGCCAAAGGGCAAAGCTACGTTCACGCGGACGTCATCAAACTTGGCGAAGGCAAGACTGAAAGAAATAGTTCTCGTTTATCCTCGCAATTCCACCACGACCGAGACGCTTCTAAACCAGTGGCGGTCCTTGCGTGTAAGGTCATGAATATTTCAACCGGATATTGCTTCATAACCCCTTTAAATTGTACAACCGAAGGCCCTAGTTGAATCTCCAACTGTACTTTTCTTGTGACGTTTATGCTTCCTTGCACTGGTGACGTGGACAAAACTGACAAGCTTGCAAAGACGGTACGACCGGGAGTTGCTTGGGACGCAAGCGGCAGTTCATGTTTGTAAACCGTAAAATGGTCTATTGAAACGGAAGCGGGGAGGCTATGTTCGACAAACGTTTCGTTACTCCTAAAACTAAACGGAAGTGGCGGAAGTGACGATATCGCGTTTGATTGGTTAGAGGTTCAAATGACGAAAGTTACCTATTTTCGCAATTTGACCTTCCAACCAATCAAACGCGATATCGTCACTTCCGTCACTTCCGTTTGTTTTTAGGAGAAATCAAACATTTGTCGAACACAGCCCCCTTGGACTACTATCAGAAGCATGCTTGCAGAGTACTTACAAATAAAACTGCGATGTCATGTAATCCGTGATAGATGCATAATCCGATTCGGGCAGCACAGAACTATCCACAAACACAATGTTGAGGGTGAAGGCGGTTGCTCACATTTAGCGGAAGTTTCGCGGTCGCCGATGAGCACCTCAATGTCGTGATAGATGCGTAATCCGATTCGGGCAGCACAGAACTATCCACAAACACAATGTTGAGGATGAAGGCGGTTGCTCACATTTAGCGGAAGTTTCGCGGTCGCCGATGAGCACCTCTCTGTCGTGATAGATGCGTAATCCGATTCGGGCAGCACAAAACAACGCAAACACAATGCCGAGGTTGAAGGCGGTCGATCACATTCAACGTAAGTCTCGCGGCCGCCAATGAGAAGCTCTTTGTCGAAATGCGTCCACCAAATACAGCACAATAATTCCATGGAATCCGACGAAATAAACGACCATTTCCGAAAAGTTGGCATGGATGTATTCCGGCCGTTCACGACGAACAATCACGGCCGCGACTGAACCACACGAAAAACAGGAATACACTGACGGGCGCCCCCCTTTTTGTAAACCGGACCTACGTGGCCCCTACAACTCACCATAACTTGGCATACGACAAAGACTACGGCCCCAGTAGCCCATCAGCGCGTCAGAGCGAATCACGTGACAAATTTTCGACCAAACGTCCTTGTCCTACGGAGAGCGATCACGTGTTTTGCGCCACCCCTCTGATTTGCTAGATGTCGCCTTCGCACTCGCTCACAGCAACACGAAGACACAAAAGAAGGTTTGGAGGCTTATCAGAAGACGAGGTCAAAGGGGGTTGGACAAAGCCGCTAATCTCCCTCTGCTGCTTTGTATTGCCACCTGCCCTGCCCTGGGAAGGTCGCGAAATCGGACTCGCCAGGGCTTGCTTTGCGTAGTACAACCTTGAGCGTCTCAAACTGCCACTCCTGTAGACGCGCATGATCTGGTACGGACCGCGAGATCACAAGATAAATACGAAAAAACATTTTTAACGCCGCCGAAGACGGGGTTTCACGTGTTCCAAAGAAAAACCGAAAAAAAAAGAAGAAAAGCGTCGGAGAGCTAGATATTTCGGTGTCATTGCGCAGAGATAAGAGTCGCGTCCCTGGGGGTGTCATTAATCCGGCACTTTCGATTGTCTTGCGACATTGTTTCTTCAGAGTTACACTCCAAAATAAAGTATCAGTGAAGGTGTTATAAGTAGTGCGAAACCCAGTCAGGTGAGTTTGTAATATCCGAAATAGGCTGCCGGCAACGGCCAGGCGGCGCCAGCAGGGTGAGATCGCACGGTTACACCTTATCTCGTTGTAACTTGGCAAACGGCGAACGATAAGCCCCACTTTGCGTGCCGATGGCTTCGAAATGCGCGACGTATACGAGCGCAACGCACACATATTGGAGCATGACGCAGCGAAAAGCCTGATACTTCTCCGGAGTTGAGGCGCGCTCCGGTGATACGCAGTGACGTTCCGATTGGCCCGCCAGGGCCGTAGCTTCCGCCCTACTGGCACGTTACGCGATCGCGGCTCCCTGGGATACCCAGTATTTCTTGCTTCGGACACTAGGCTCAGCGGCGCCACCAGAGTAATAGCTCACGTTTGAACAATGCAGCCGCCACTCCCAGGGATACCCAATATTTCTTGCTTCAGTCGCTAGATGGCGCCAAACCAAACAGCATTGCAGGTTGCCTATGAGGGCGCCACAGTTTGTTCAAGTCTTCAGCTTAAAAAGTCTTTCT